GTGATGATTTTGATGGCAACACTAATAACCAGAGAGGTATTTTTAGATAGTTTAAATCTAGATTATTTCTAGTGGTAAATAGTATGGATTTGAGTGTATAAATGTGGGCGATATTAGGAGTTGAGTATGTACGTACATAAGGTCCTAGAACCGGTCAGGCGCCCGGGGATCACTCAACCCGTGCGTTCGGAACTAGAAGAGTATTTATACCCAGACTGGGAAAGGCCACGGAACAAATTCTGAACCTGAAGAGAAGGGCGCTCGGACCCAGTCTAATCGAGTCTACCTCTAAGGAGAATAACTCAGTATGGTGTGAGGATAAAACATAAATGATTGAGAATAAGGGATGTCACTATTGTCGTATAGTGATTGGTTAAATGAAGGATGTTGATTTACTATAAGATATGGATTTGTTTCTATATGAAATGATGGAAAATTGATGGTTTCCCAATCTATGAATAAAGTGTATTTGGAAATAATACCCTTGTTTTAATGAGTACTTTGGTACGTATTATTATACGAAGAGATGCTCTTACAACTTGCCATAAAATGAAGAATGCCATAATTTTATAATTAAAGGTTTCACAAAATAATAGATAAAGTGGATTTTATTAAATAAAAGGGTTGAAAAAGGGTAATGATTCCCGTATATGTGTTTTATGAATTATTATACGAAATCTAAGTTGTGGTACCACTCAGCGGTTTCACTAAGCACACAGTTGTCTTTGTTGTGTGACTGTGTGTAGGTAATAAGCTATGGCGTCCATCCGGAAGATGCAGAGGCGGGAGAGTTGGCAGAAGGATGCAGGAAATGTTTTTAATAATTTAAAGTATTGTTGGACTTGAGCTCATATATGTAAATATGTTGAATCTTATTTAGCTTCCGCAATAGTTAAATCAAATTACTCCGAAATTTATTTTATAATATTTTGAGGAAACTATGTTTTAATTTTTTTTAAATTGCTATTACTATTGTTTCTAAAAGATTATGGAATGTTACTTTACCAAATTGCTAGCGCTCTGGTCCGCTAACCCGCGTGAACCGGGTAACGCGAATCGGGGCGTTATAGAGTTCCATGTCCCCTTCAAAACGACAGTTCTTAGATCCCCGTATACATGTTTTTACCTGGACAGCCATTGGACCCAACAGGTACCACATGACTCTAACTTACTAACTTATGGCATAACTTGCCACTATTTCATTCAGGTAAGCTCTTAGAGTTCATTCTAGGTATTTCATCCTTTAATTATCAATAATTTATAACATACATGTTCATGCATCAATACATAATTCATCACATCCAACATACTCAAACAACACCCTAACTCTAGGTATTAACACTCATGTTTACCGTCATGCAACACACAAAATCTGGGAATCGATCCTCGATGCAAATAGCAATTCCAGACCAGTCCAGGTACCTCACGGTACCCTTGGCGGTAGGGGTTACTGACCCTACGGTACTAGGGTACCGTCCCCACTGTACGGGGGTACCAACCGTGTCAACTGGACACCCCACCAATAGGCTGTCACACTAGCCTTTACCGACCCGACGTTAGGGCCTACTACCCACACGGTACCTAGGCACCGTTTGATGACACGTACCAGTAGAGAGAGGTGAAATCAAGGTAGCTGGCAGTAGCCAGGTACTATGTCAACGGTACCTACCTACCGTTTGTCGTGTCAAATACCACACTTGCACTAGCTCCGATTTTACCCATTAAACATCACTAATTTCAGAAAAATCAAGCCTAAACAAGTTCTAAATCATTAATCAATTATCATCTCACCATCCTCAACAGTTCTAATTCAAATCATGTTTTTCAAAACGTAAACGACATAAACAAACACAACTCACGTATAATCCACGTAAATCAATTGTGACGATTCTACGAACATAAGATTCAAACCTACGACTATAACCATGCGTTAGATGTCCACATACTCACCTCGAATTCGACGATTAATAACTACTACCTCCGTTCCAGAGTATTTGTCCACTTTCATTTTTACACACCATCCAATACACTTCTTTAATCTATTTTATCTTGTAATTTGTATATTAAAAAAATTATAGAAATTATATATTAATAATCTATATGTTAAGACAAATCAAACATGATCACACATGACTATATTTAGGCTTACACATTGAGAGAATTTGATGAGTTAAAATGCTTAGATGATCAATTCCAAAAATCAAAACTGGACGAATACTCCAGGATGGAGGGAGTATGAGATAATACCAACTAATGACAGCGTCAAACTCTTCCTCTTTCCTTCTTCTTCCTTCTTCTCTTTCTTTCTTTTCTCCTTCTTTTTCTTTCCCTCCTGTGTGATGCTGGTGTGCTTCGGTCGAGAGAGAGACAAGAGAGTACGGAGAGGGAGTTAGGTAAATATTATGGTTGCGTGAGGGTTTTGGACGTATAAGGAGTATATTTATACATTTTGGGGTTTTGGGCTCCGTATTAACTTAACGTACCTGGCCTAAGCGCACTTTCCGGGACCACTGGCTCCAAGTCTAATTCCGATTTTACTGTTAGATTCGATAACTCGAACCCTACACAACAGTATAGACTTTATTGTCAAACAAATAATATTTATAATTTCTACCAAGTAAGTCTCAGTAATTAATTAATTATTTTTAATTAATTAATTTTGATAGGCCGGATTTCAGGGTGTTACATAGGTGGATGGTTTAATCTATCCGTTAAGGGGGAATAGATTAACCGTTGCATTTGCTGGCTTCAATTTGAACAAAGGGGGAGATTGAGGATTGTCCTTGCAGTAATTTTGGACATAAATACTTGTTTGAAGAGGAATTCCTTTGTCATAGAATTCGTCTTCTATCTGTTGTTCAAGGATTCTGGACTATAACTCTTTATTGAGTGGCATTCTCATTTTGTCTTCTTGTACTTGTTCAAGAATTCTGACCGAGCTCTTCAATTTGGGAGTCCACATTTTGTCTTCTTGTCACTTGTTTTTGAATCATCTAAGTTTTCCTCAATCCATCTGTTTAAAATCAAGAGATTGATTTTTCCTTGCCAACGGGTAGAATTCCTTCATTCATGACTTAGATAATTTTTCAAAATCTTTTTTCACTTGTCCGTTCTGAGAGTTCTGGTCCACCTAGAGACATCCGGCTCCTAGCTTGACAGTTCCAGATTAGTCATCTTGAGACTTCCGAGTGAGAAAGAGCGATCCGCGCTAGTCTTCCTATCCGGATGACTTAGTCTTCATGCGGATGGCTGCAAGACTTCCGGGTAGAGTTGAGTCTTCTAGTTTAAAAGAATTCCGAAGAGCTTTGACTTCATTGAGAATTCCTTTCTTGTCTCTGATATTTTCGAGCGAGAGTTTCAATTTACATATCACTGATTTTGATAAGTCTTCAAATTAAAGTATGAATACTCAAAAACTCAATATGAAATATCACAAGATTTTATTTGAAATCTCAAGAACTTGGTTTTAACATTATTTTAAAAAGAAGATTACATTGAATTTGGGTGAGACCTAGAGTCTCCATTACAATCTAAATACATCATCATCAAAATCTATAATATTTTTCCCAACAATTTCTAACTCTCAAAATAATATTTTGATGAAGAGGATTGAAGCAAGAGATTGAATATAAGAGAAGGATTGAATTAAGTGCTTGAATTGTATGTATAATGAAGGTAGAAGAGCGTTTATATAGGTGTAGAAAGGATATGTCCGTTGGGGCAAATGATAAGGCTTTACAAGATGTGCAACGGATAAAAAATTGATTATGGCATATAGAGGAAAATCGATTAAAAGGCTCTGTCGAAAAATATTTCTGTGCGAAAATGGCTAATCGATTATTTCCAAAGTGAATAATTGATTTTTAATGCCTGGCCTAAAAACTCATCTACGCATGAAGTAAAAAATTGATTTCTACAGAGTGAGAAAATTGATTTCTTGCGTGAATAATACAAAGACAGCAATGACTCAATCAAGTGCGAGACGAGGAAGTACATTTGTCACTTTCCCATTGTTCCGAACAAGAAAACAAGTACAATAGGCTCACCTTAATATCAAATTCATTCAAAAGAATTTGAATGGTTTAAAGAGAATTGGGTGTAGAAAAGAGTCTCAAAAATATTTTTTGTTTCAAACGATGTACACAAAAAATATCTAAAATATATTTTTCTTATCCATAAAAAAATTGTATATCTTAAAAGCATATTTTCAAAACCTGAGTCGTGAAAATAATATTAAAGAATATCCAAAAGAAGTTTGATATCTTAAAAGGATATCTTAAAATTCTTTGCTTTCTTGAAATGAAAATAAATTTGCGTTCATCGTTGCGTTTGTCATTTATCAAAACCTGAAAAATAATATTAAAGAATATCCAAAAGAAGTTTGAACTCATGTCAACAATCGATCACCCTTAGGGATTCGCTACTGTGTTTGTCGCGGTATCAGGTATTTACAGCTCAACCTGAAGAGGTACATGAATCGGGTATCTTGCGAAGCCCCTTCTGTCCATCCACCGCTCAGTAGTGGGGCTCCGCACTGCAATATTGAACTGTAAGGGGTGCCCTAGAGGAATCTATCTCGGCTTAGGTCTACAGAGAGATGTGGTTAAATAGTAAATGTCCACCCTCCTATCACCAATTGGTTTTAGGAAGCATTTGACACCTCTTTAACTTTACAATTTAGTAGTTAAGCGTGCTGGAACAAGAGTAGTCCCAGGACAGGTGGCCCAATGGAAGTTCCAAAAATCAATCCTACAGAAGTTGAGCTTTTAGAACTCAAGTTCCAATACTTTTGTTTGATCCAAAAGACTGGCAATTTGTCTCCTTAAGGGCTTCCTTGGACTTGAGCTCTAGTTCCAACTCCTCGATATGTGAGGACTCGGCGGAACCCCGTGATCAGTCAACTTCTCTCTTGAGCTCTCCACACTTGGTCTTCTAGAGCTCCCGGTCTTCATTCAACTTGCCAGTTAGCTCACAAAGATGGGCATTTTCTTCCTGGGCAGCCCTGAATTGCTCCTTTAGTTCTCGAATCGCTCCTTTCTTCTTGCCCAGTAAAGAGTAGGCTTGAGAGTTCCAAAAGGAGGCTACCACGTATTTCTTAGTCAGCTTCTGGGCGGCAACATGATTCTGAGAAAACGAGGAATTTAGATATATGGAATTAGCATGGAGATGAAAGTGCTAGAAGGAGATGGAGAAGTACTTGTAGTCAGAGTAGCGAAGGCTGCCTGGCCTGATGTCACTGAGGGCTGGTCTTGTAGCTAGCTTTTGGACCCGTTCAATCATCTTCCTCCCCTGGGCATGAGCTTCCTTAGCAGATAAGAGACTTTCTTGAAGAAAAGCCCAGTTCTGTTTAAACAGATTCTGGGTCTTCATTGTAAATTTACAGTTGGCAATCAGATACAAGTTTGCCTCGGCAGAGGAAGAGCCCTGCATGGGCTGACCAAAAGGAGCTAGATCCTTGGGGGGTGAGGTATGGGTGCTAGAGGGGCAGTCCGCTGCGATTCTACTCTCAGATTGAAGAACCTGCGCAGGATCCTCAGAAGATGGCCCGGTAGAATGAGGCTTGGTTACCTCAACAAGTCCCCCACCAGAGGGATTACCACCCCCAACAGCGGATAGAACTACCTCTGGCCTAGTCGCCCGGCTTTCCCCTCCCGTGAGGATATCCAGAAGGGAAGGGCGTGAAGTGATCTCCGCCAGAGAGGTAGAAGGTGCAACATGAGAGGACTCCGGGGTAACTTTGCTCGGAGACCCCCTTGATTTCTTTTGTTGAAGAAGGATGGTAGGGTTATGTTGAATGGTTTGCGCTTCTGTGTACTAGAAGGCTTTTGGAGTATTAGACCGACGAGCAAGGTATCACTGGCCCGAGTAGAGCTCACTTACGGCGTTGGGGAGATCATGGGAGTGAAAGAATCAATAGGAGTGGCTTCTGGGCCCAGAGTACTAAAAAGGTCAAAAGGGCCATGCTCTGCTCACGCCTATTTGGATGGGGGTTCCTGCGAACCCCTCGTTTCAGTGCCTAAGGAGGAAGTTTGCTTACATCTGTTGAGGGCGTCGCTCATGTTCAATAAGGGCGTCGCTCTTCATCTCCTCATAGGCCTTATCGGCCTGGGAACCTCTAGAGAATGGGGTCTGTGAAAGGTTAGACCACAACACTACGAAGGGTAGGTCTAACGGGTTGTGAATTAAGAATTCTATAACAAAAAGCCTTCTTTACCTGTACATGATTTTTAGCTCCACCTTCATGAAAATGGGGCACTTTTGATGCGAAAACACATTGAAGTAGGGTAAGGAACCACCAATGCTTAACAAAGTCCTGAAGTCCTCAGCTGAGGAAGGTTCTTCCCTTGTCCTGGCAACAAAGAATGTAGGAAGCAGGGTATTTGTGGGCTTTGACTATGAATTGCCCAAGAGGTATCTCCCAAGTCGTGCATACCTTGCGGATGAAGGAGTGCAGCTGGAGTCTGAAACCATGGAGGACTGAGTCATAGTGCATTACAAGAAAGCGCTTCGATGCTGAATTATGAGCAAGATTGATTCCGCCCACGGCGGTTGGATGATGGACTTTGAATGGATCTCTTAGAAGGTCACACATGAGGACAAGCTCTGAATCCTTAATCGTGGAGGATTCGGGTTGTCATTGCTTTATTTTAAAGGATTGGGAAGTCATACTGCAAAAATTTGAGAAAAGCTATGGATTGCAGAAGATAACTCTGAGATTGGGTTGCCGAAGTGGAGCGGGTTTATAGACGTTTCGGCTCGAACTTCGAGTAAAGAGTGGGATCATTTCTGATCCGGTATGATAATCAAAGGCGGCTCATCATTAGTTCCTTGGCGATGCATCGCTAAGGAACTAAGGGTTGTGATGGATATCCGGGCCCGATGGTTGCATATAGATCGCCTAATTGTGATTCCACAGCCCAACAGTGATATAAATCTGACTGCATAACGCAGAGTCAAGGCCCGAAGTTGGACCTAGAGTGTCGACTCAAGCCTAATACTTGAATGGAGTGTGATTCCCCAAATCGTGGGATTGAGACGAGGTTGATGACTGATTCCCCACCACGATTAACACATGATTGGAGAGTTACCGATAATGTAGCACACACAATATTACATGCCTTGTATATAGTAGAAGTAGACTATAAATAGAGGGACCCTCCACTGTAACCCAAGCTGAATATAGCTAATACAAACACATAAGAGTTCTTATTTTCACTAATACTGTTCTTATTATTCTTCAGTTCTTCGCACGTCATAGTTGTTGGGCTACATCCCATCACGATGGATGGTTGAGGGAGATGATAGAGTGTTTTAGTCAATGAAAACACTTGAAATTTCCGAAGAACAAATGAACATGAATCCATTAAAATAATGATGATGAGTAATGTTTCTGCTAAACGAATGAAATGTAACAACAACAAAAAAGTAGGAACAATTATCAGTGTTATTTATATGCTAAAATCAATTATTCCTGAAGAGTACATGTTCGAGGCATTTGCACAGATCCCATGCTACCTTCCTACCTAGAAGCAGTCGACTTTCACATCTGTAACGTCAAGTTGCAATATCTCTGCTCTGCATCCAAGAATTGATCCTATACTGCAAATTAAATACATAGCCAACATCATATTTCTTTAATTTTTGTTGTTGGCATGGGTAGGAAATTCATTGTTTTGGTCCCATTTTTGTATTTGAGTCACTCTATTGAAAGAAATTTCTCAAAAAAACCCTTTCCTATTTTGGGCAGTTCAACCGAGTGGAAGCCTAACCATTTTATATGAGAGGGTGTCCACAAAAACTACCAAAATATGACTATTTGGGAAATATCTTTCAAAACAATGGGTGTCAAGTTTGTATGAGCGGATATCCGGAATAGTTTGCAACATGAGCAGACCATTTGGGGAAAATTCTCTATAAAATTTTTGCATTTCTTGCAATTCCATAATAGCATGAGCATCCTTTTCTTTTTTGTTCTCAACAATGTTAGCATTTGGGTGTGAAGAACTGAATTAACCACTCTTTGAATAATTGAAGGGCTGGATAAACACACATAAATGCATATATAAAAAAAGAGCTTACAAGAGATTGTCACATTTGTCAAAAAAGAAGGGCTGGATGACCACTTCTCCTAACGATACTGCAGACATTAACAACTTACCAAACAACTGCCATTAACATTTCACCATACCAAAGAGTTCTCTTACGGATTTACACACAACTGACACAAACTTCTACCCAGGCACAAGCAGCTGGCACAAACATCTAAATATTTAATAGCTAACAATTGGTCACAAACAAGGCCTGTGTAATTAGAATCACAACATGGTAAATCATTTGAGGGTATGTGGTGTGTCAGTTTGTCATGTGCATTAAGAGTTGCAACATGATATTTCGTTTGTCGGCCATGATAAAATTGAATACAGAATAACAGTGTATTTTGAAATTAGAAATAAGTCTGGAGAAATATATATATATATATATATATATATATATATATATATATATATATATATATATATATATAAATACTCCCACCATCTCATCGAAAAAGTCATGCTTCCCAACTTGTGTTTTTCCTCATAAACAGCCCTATTTCTCATTTTGTTTGAAAATATACTCCTTTGTCCCATTATTATGTTTCTTCTTTTCGATTTCAGCCAACCTAAAACTTTGTTCTGCTTTCCTTTACGAAGCAAGGATTATGTAGTTCACCTTCTTTTCTATTCTAAACAAATTTCAATCACACAATTCCCACTTTATCAGAAAACTTATCAAGTAAAACACTGAATATAATTTTGGAACAAAGGGAGTGTGTATGTATAGTTCTTTCAAAAAGATGTACCTTACTAAAATATAAAGTTGTACGCTTATAAAAGTACACTCTTTTTATGGGGCGGAGGGAGTATATTAATTCTGCCCTAGACAGCCCGGGGAACAATCCATCCCTCACATGCGGGTATGGAGTATAGACAATGTGTTTTGGCCGGCAAGACGTGAAAAAGTTCACCTGACCCAGCTTTTTGTAAAAATTAATAGAAGGCCTGGATCATGCCTGCCCATACCCGCTTTTGTACAGGTCTACGACTGCAATGCCCCAAATTGACATTGTGGGTCTACATGGCACTATCAGGAGCAATTGAAGGACAAAACAACAGTTATCCCTATGAAAAATGCATATTTATGTATGAGAGATTCATTATAGCCTTGATATGGCTTAAATTATTTAGAGTAAATTCCATAAAAGGTCCACAGTTATAGGTCGTTTTACATATTTAGTCCCTACATATCAATTATATTCATTTCCACGAATGGTCCTTTGTTAACATTTCCATTAAGAACGTGGATAAAATTGTAAATTCACACTCCTTTCTCTCCTCAATTAAGCTTCCTCCCTCCCCTCGCACTCCTTTTCCAAACCCGTCGCTGAGTTTGAAGCTTTGAACCCAAAACCGAAATCATCACTCTTCTCTCAATTGTTTGTCTAACTGGTGGAACCCAAATTCAAAACCAGTAACCTTCATGAATGAGTTTTAATGTTTATTTTCTTTGCAATTTCTTGAGACTAATAGATAAAACTCATTCATAAAGCTTATTGATTTTGATTTTAGGTTCCACCAGGTAGACTAATAATTGAGAGAGGAATGATCATATCAGTTTTGGGTTAAGAGCTTCAAACTCAGCGACGAGTTCGGGAAAGAGTACGAGAGGAGGAAGGAAGCTTAATTGAGGAGAGAGAGAAGTGTGAATATACAATTTTATCCATGTTCTTAACAAAAACGTTAACAAAGGACCATTCCTGAAAAATGATATAATAATTGGGGACTAAATTAATAATACTCCGTATTTGATATCTAGGGACTAAATATGTAAAACGACCTATAATTGGGAATCTTTTATAGAATTTACTCAATTATTTAGTACCTTGGATGGGTGCGTCCAAGATCTCCATGAACAAATTCCTTAATGTATGTCCCAGCCTGACATGAATAAACATCATTACATTATACAATCAGCAACTCGTGAATCATGAAAACACTACAGTTTTGAAAATATGCTACAGAAACTATATGAAAACTGTTGTTTCCATTAAACAAAAACCTACAATTTCAAATTAATAAGAAAACACAACACAATTTTCAAAAAATACTCCCTCCGTCCCAGTGTTTTTGTCCACTTTTCCTTTTTAGGCCGTCCAAGTGTATTCGTCCACTTTCCTTTTGGGGTCAGTTAAAGGTTCTATAGTGACTATTTTGCCCCCAAAAAAATCTCCCTTTCTCTCTTCCTTTGTCCTCTCACCCATTAAAGCCTCCATGCCTCAATCTCTCCATCTCATTCTCTTCTTTCTCTTTTCAATCACCCATTCCGTCATCAAAATTATCCCACCGCCACCAACCAGTGGCGATGGTTGCTCTTTGAGTGACATCGTCTTTGCGACTACGAAAGATAAAAATGAAGACAGACGAAGACATCGATTAATCCAGAGTTTGGATTTGATGAAGATGGCATTGAGTTCAACTTTTGATTTCATAAAGATGATGGTGCACGTGGATCCATGCTTTTCTTGGTTGCAGATCTCTCCTCCGACAATCACAGATGGCAACCCTAGATATATAATTTTCTCAGTCACAGAGTTGTCCTCAGGGCAGCCAGAATTGAATATCAATGGATCTCCCAAAATAGAGTTGACAATGTGCCAAAAAAAGAGAGTTGACAAAGATGGCGAGGGATCCAAGTTTTTCTCTTTTTTTGTGTTCACATTTTTTGCTCTTTTCTATATTCAGCATGAATCAGATCTAATGAAGATTTAATAGTTAATAAAAAATTAAAATTGTTTCAAAAGCAAATTTTTCATTTGAGTTGTGTTGTTGATTAACAATCGAACCGAGTTGTGTTTGTGGAGAATTATCGATTAACAAAAGCAATTCTGTTTTAATTCTAAAGCAAGAGTACATGGATCATATTCTCTTATTATAATCTCATTGGTCCAACTTCCAAGAACCAAAACAAAAACGAGCAAAAACACCGGGACGGAGGGAGTAGTTACTTAAACCAATAAATAGTAAAACAAAAAGGTAAATAAAGTATAGAAACAAGGAACCTGTGTGCATAGATGCAAAAGAAAATACTGAGAACTTCCTAGTAACCTCTCCAGTTTCATCCTGCAACAGGAGATCAAGTACATAGACATGGTTTAGCAAAAGAACTTCATATCACAATATGTTATTTTGAATAATTAATACCAATGTATGGTCTTTCCGCGCTCCAGTGGACTTCGACGGTGGAGAACCCTGATTGGTGTTTTCTGGACAATTTTCTAAAAAAGAGGCAGAAAAAAAGTTCTTGAATAAAAGAGCAAGTGAGACATATCCACCCAACTTGAGAATAATAATTTGATTTAATGTGGAGAAAGAATGTCCACATGCATATTCTAATATAAGACTACCCAAGAAAAGAGAAGCTAGGGAAAAGAAAAAGTAGTTTTTTGTCAACACAGATTCAGATATGCATTTTGTTGAACAGACATTATGCTAAGCAAGCAACACTCATAAGTATGATTATGCATGAAGCCATGAAATATGGTAGCGAACCATAATGCCATCAATCTACTTTTATTCCTTCTATATAGTACATGAAAACATTGAATGAGATGAAGATCAATAAAAATAAGGTCAACAAAACACACCATGTCCTTCACTGATGATAACGTTTGCAAATCTTCATTGTTGATATCACGGGATATCCAAACCAAAGCAGAATACTGTTTCTACATATAATTAGAGAACATAGTTAATTTGATGATAAAAGTACTAAAACCAGAGATTGGTTTCTTAGGGCATACTGCATACCTGCTTCTCAGCTTCCCCTTCACGCATCATTGCCCACGCTTGGTTGCTTACAACAACAAGATTTTTAACCTTTACCTAGATGAACATCATGAACCAAATTTAAATCGTGAATATGATTAATATACACTCCTCCCTAAGCCCCCAATTTAGATACCCAAATTCCTATTTCGTCCATCTCAAAATTATCTTCACATTTCTATTTAAGAAAACATTTGTGTGGTTCATTAATTTTTCCTTTCTAAATAAATTCCAACAACATTAGTTTTTTTTAAGAAAGAGTGCCAAAAGATTATGGTAATGCCAATTTGCGGGGTAAAGGAGTATCATGCAACCGCTCACTCCACCTCATTGTGCTCTTCTAGACACCTCCCCCTCCCAATCCCCCATGTTATGAGTCCATGACGTTAATGGCATTGACGTGGGCAATTGGGGTCGTGGGGAAAATGGTGACACAGGCAGTCATGCTAGCTTATAGGAAAATAAACTAGGAACAAAGGCTGGATGTTATGGGGTTCTGTTCTCCTCAAGCAAGCTCTCGGGCTTCTTGATACCTCACTTTTTCCAGTTATATAAGCAAAGCAAAGCCCCCCGTGGTAACAAGGATTACAATCATAGAAGAGCCTAAAACAACGAATGAATGAAAAGGGAAAATTTCAGAGGAGACCACTTCCCAAAATAGGTAAGCCAATTCAATAAAATAAAATCATTGAAGTTGCATTAAAATAAAGGGGGCAGTTCTGTTGCCACTGGGCAATGGAACCACTGGTGGAGCCACTGGTGCCTACGGTGCTCTGTTTGCAAAATTGATGGTTCCCACCCCCAACCCCCTCTAAACCCCCTACCCCAGCCCCACCCCAGCCCCACCCCTGCCCCCTTCCAATTGCCTAATGAGCACACATTTTGAAGGGGGCAGGGTCCGGCTGGGTTGGGGGTTTAGGGGTTAGGGGGATAGGAACCATCAATTTTGCGAACGGTGGTCGTAGGTGCTCCAAAAAGCAAATGCCACCGTTGCCTAGTGGGGCCGTAAAATAAAATCCCAATTCTAATCAATCAGTCACACCATTCTTGTTAATCATCTACTTGATTTCCCTTTTAGTATTTCCATGATCTTACTCCGCATAACGTAGCATGCAGTACCATCCCCTTTCCCCCTCCCGCCAAGAAAGTGAAAGAGTAAGATCATTTGTTGTTAACTTACATGTTGGTACTCCATAGAGTTTATTTTAACCTCCACATCTTTTATAACCCCCTCGGAAGGAATTTGTCGTGCATTTTGTATCTCAACTAAAAAAGGACGACCTGTACCCAACATCCGAACCTGAGGAGCAAAACAAAATGTGTCCCAGGATCTGAATACAGTAACCAATTGCCACACAAATATGACAAAATTTTCTTACATCAATATCCTCTCTACCAGCAGCATGAAACTTGTAACCTTCTCCCCGGCAAAATGGAAGGATGCTTTTACCTAATATCTCCTTCAGAAAGTATCAACTATCAGTGTCATCATTTTCCACTCACAGCTAGAGACTAATTCTAGAAGGGGTTTAGTGTAACAAAAACTGAAGTACCTCAACAGATGCTTCACCCACTCTTTCATCATCAATAACCCACCGAGTCTGGCTAACATTTCTTGAATACTGCAGTTGCACAATGTGCATATGGCATCACATGAAACAAGGTCCAAGTAGAGCTAGTTGGTTGAAGTCTCAGGGGGTGTTCGGCAAAGAGTTCTTAGCTGTTTAGATAAGTTGTTCGTATTTTCTCTGTAGACTAGTTTTATTTATGGAGATATCTTACACCTTGCATGAAGAGAAGTTGAATAAGTTGTCAAGGTGTTACCCCTAGAGTCCTAGTAATACTGAAGGGGTGTTTCTGCATAAGTTACTAGAAATAGAAAAGACTAAGTTGAGCTTCTCCATTGGCTTGAGAGGTAGGAATAGGAAGCCCAACTCCAAAATTCATGGGGTAGCTCACCCAAGTTCGAGTCTCAGCGGAGGCATTGACTCGTGCGTCATTAGGTTGAAAAAAGTATGAATAGATACTACATTGTGATAAAGTCAATAGCACTAAAAAAGACTCAGCTTGGAAACATAGTGCTAAAGTACAAATCTAAAGAACGTAACTATTGTATCTGTTGGTATATTTTGAGGCTTAAGCCTCACATCTCCCGAGCAAACTGCCTCGATTCCCGAACTAGCCTTTTTAAGCTTTAATTTAGGGCCAAACAACTCTTTCAAACAGCTCTTCACCAAGCACTCAATTCGCTTTTTTGCCACAATAAAAGAGCTCTTAGGCTTAAGAGAGCTCTTATGGGGTGAAAAAGTTGTTTACCAAACACCCCTTCACTTGATGGAATTTAATATTGTATCTTTCACACGAAAGGAAGTTAATAGCACATGTGAAACAATGGAAACAAATACATCTAGAAGATATTTCAGTAGAGCATATTTATGAAATAATCTTAAAGAGTAGAATATAACACACCTTAAGATACCTCCCTCCGATATAAATAGAATTCCTAAAACATTGAAGTGTCAAGTGACAAGGTTGAATGACCTATAACAGAAGATAGTTCACATGATTTATGCAGCATTTACAATCTTGCAAATTGGTGATTGACAGGGGCCACATTCAACATCAACCTAACGATGATATTATGAACGTGAAAATATGTAAATATGTAAAACTACAGAAAATTACTACGGGGTACCCTCAATTTTCTGGTAAGACCTCACAAGTCCCACATTATCTCACATTTCCCACAATATCTAAAATATAATCCAAAGTGTTAGAATATAAATAACTCTTCCTGGGCCACAACCACAAGCTTGAGCTTTTGGTTGAGTTGGTTCTTTGACATGGTATCAGAGCCTTGATGACCAAGAAGTCACGAGTTCGAAACTCACCGCCACCCAGTTTAAAAAAAACTAAAAGTTCCACGTGCAAGGCTCGAAAAAGACTACACCTACACGTGAGGGGGCGTGTTAGAATATAAATAACTCTTCCTGGGCCACAACCACAAGCTTGAGCTTTTAATTGAATTGGTTCCTTGACAAAAAAGCATGCTCGCTTTTCTGCAGGTCTCACATTATCCAAAATATACTTCAAGGTCCTTAAAATTTCTGGTAAGAACTCTCAGGTCTCATATTATCCATTTGGCCGTTAAGATTGAAATTTCTATTACTTTGATAAATCAAACACCTCTGGCTACCTCACATTTTCTGGTGAAACTCGCATGTCACGTATTATTAAATTCTACATTGAATAATCCTAAATATATTAAAGTTTAATAAAATCCTCAAATTTTTAGTGAAAAACAACTAAGATAATAATGATTATAAATTGAAGGATTTTATTAAAGTTTAATAAACTAACGATTATTCAATGTAAAATTTAGCAATATGTGACATGCGAGTTCTTAGCAAAAAACATGAGGTACTCTATAGTAAATTTTTTGGTATTTGATTTGTCAAAGTAAGCGAACTTTCGATCTTAGTGGTCAAATACTCAAATGGACGAAATGTAACATCGAAGTACATAACCACAAACTTTGAAGACCCCAAAAGTACATTTTAGATAATGTGGAACCTAGAAGTTCTTATCAGAAAATAGAAAATAGAAGGTACCCCAGAGTATATTTCAGATACGAGTTCTTAGAGTAATATTCTGTGTAGAACTACCTTCTCTATCATATCATTTACATAAACAAAGGAATCTTCTTGTGATTTTAATGAAGTTCCAGTGAATGCCTCTCCTTCAACCTTGTGGATATCAACAACTAGACTGTAAGCAGCATCTGTTTTTCTCCTTTTATTCTCTATACTACTTTCCGCATTAAGTTTCATTAATGAGTCCAAGTATGTAAGTCGAATGTGAAAAGTGCTTTCCATGTGTTTCAAATCCTACAACAGCAAAAATGCATTGAACCTTTCATAATCATACCCAAATAATGCACCATGTGTGTATATAAACCAACAAATTTGTGCATAAATATTAGCATGTGAACAACGTTGAATTGATAAATTGACTTTTGAACAAATATAAAATACAGTATGAAAGAGAAATATACCAACAATGTTTGTAGAGGCTTTATTACTAACAATTTCAAAACATCTTTAATCGAAAAGCATTGAAATGCAGCTTTTTCCTGGAACCACAGCTCATACTCATACTTCTTTTGCATATAAAACCTGGAAAAGTAACACTAACTCTTTCATTATCATCGTGAAATCACTCACTTTTGTAAAGTTAAAGGTGAAAGATTCCATAACAACAACCTAGTAGAATCTCACAAGAGTAGGGACACGAGAGGGTGTACACAGACCCATACTCGAAAGTAAAGAGGTTGTTTCCAAAAGAGCCCTCAGCTCAAGAAAACACATAATGCACAGAAACGTCAGAAAGCAAAGTGCATAACAAAATAAGCACCTTGCAAGTATAGAGACAGAAAAGAAACACACAATGAAAAAAATACACAGAGAAACGGAAAGCACTTCACAGAGAAGCTTACAATAACAAAAAACCACTAGGGCCAAAAACCTACCCAAATGTTGTAGTCCTAGCACTCCAGGTGCTCTTATCTAAGATCATATCCTCGATAAGGCCAAACAGTTTTAGGTCATGCCTAATCACGTCCTTCCAACTCTTTTTAAGTCAACCCCTTTCCCAAACAGTTTTAGGTCATGCCCCTTTCACATTGTTGCACTGTAGCCTGACGTCGTGTTCAAACCACCTCAACCTACCTTCTCAGAGGTTATCCTCCATAGATATCACTCCTACCCCTCCCCAGATAACCTATTCTGAACCTTATCCATTTTTGCCTCTCCACACATCCACAAGTGAAAGATCCCATAAGATACACCATCCCCCCCCCCCTTCCAAAAAAAAACATAATTCAACAACCACACCTACTGACCCGAGTTTAGAGTCTAACAGAAAATCAGAGGTTATTAGATAGAAGAGAATCTCACCAGATAGCTCGATCATTTTTGTTTACAAGTGGAGGTAATGAAACTTCTAGAGAAAAGCTACCAATTTGTTGATACTGCTGTTGCCTTACAAGTTCGGCGATTTCTGAAGCAAACTCAGATGCACTATCCTTCTTCATAAAAGTATTATTGTCATTAAAAAACACAAACTGCAATACACCTAAACAGATTTTGCAAATGCTTGTTTCTGTAGTTAATTCATGAGCAGTTAATCCCTCTTGTTTGCCAGAACTATCAAGCCCATCACCTCCAACTCTCACTTCTCCTAAAATAGTTCGTAATTTTGAATTTGAGAGTGAAGGGTGAGAACAAATTAGCTCATGAAGGCCCAGCAACCGAAAGATACATTGAGCGCACACCTGCATCATCATAACAGGTACTCCAGAATAAACTCCAAAGCATCAATGGTCCTTCAATATAAGACGCACACAAAATAATAATAATAATAATAATAACTAATAGTAATAATTTTTTTCAGCAATAGTAATGGTAATAATAGTAATAATTATAATAATAATAATTGGGAAAATAAATTTGGGAATTCATTGACACTTGCACAATAAAAAAACTCCGGAGTATGTTTTTTCATTCAAATCGAAATTTGGGAAAATAAATCGATTAATAGAGCCGTTACTGGTAATGGTTGAAAAGAACGAACCCCCATAGACCAGAAGTCCTTGACAACATTGACAGGCACTGCCCCAACAGCGTCGCGAATACGCTTCAGAAGATCATTGTCCATGTGGTCCGACGTCAATTGCGTCTCTTCATTGCCGTCGATAACCTCTTTGCTGTCGTGCTGTGCCATTGGACTCCTGTGCGGATAGGTTTCTCCTTGGGGGTTGCTGCCTCGGCCTCAAATTATACTCCTACTTGCTAGTAGCCACAGGCCCACAGCACAATCTCACGATAAATTCAATATAATTTAAAATAATAAAATATTAAAAATATTTTATTTTTGATTAAATTCCATAAAAGGTCCCCAGTTATAGGTCGTTTTACATATTTAGTCTCTACATATTAAATATTACTAATTTAGTCCCCAATTATTATATTTATTTCCACAAATGGTCCTGTTAATATTTTCGTTAAAAACGTGAGTAAAATTATAAATTTACATTCCTTTCTCTCTTCAATTAAGCTTCTCTCCTCCCTTGCACACCTTTCTCAAACCCGTCGCTGAGTTTCTAGCTTTGAAACCTAAACCAAAATCATCACTCTTCTCTCAATTGTTTGTCTAACTGGAGGAACGATCATTTAAGTTTTGGGTTTAAGAGATTCAAACTCAGCGATGAGTTTGGAAAAGAGTATAAGAAAATGGAGAAAGCTTAATTGAGGAGAGAGAAGTATGAATATACTACCTCCGTCCCGCTATATTTGTCCACTTTTGACTTTTGGAACTGTTCATCTAAGCACTTTGACTCATCAAATTCTCTCAATGTGTAAGCCTAAATATAGTCATGTGTGATCTTGTTTGATTTGTCTTAACATATAGATTATTAATATATAATTTTTATAATTTTTTAATATACAAATTACAAGATAAAATGGATTAAAGAAGTGTATTGGATGGTGTGCAAAAATGAAAGTGGACAAATACTCTAGGACAGAGGGAGTACAATTTTGTCCACGTTCTTAACAAAAATGTTAACAAAGAACCATTTGTGGAAATAAATATAATAATTGGGGACTAAATTAGTAATATTTGATATGTAAGGACTAAATATGTAAAACGATCTATAACTAGGAACCTTTTATATAATTTACTCTTTATTTTTTAAATAAACCTAATTTTACTAAATTTATATATATAGTAAATTTCATAAAAAGTCCCCAGTTATATGTTATTTTACATGTTTAGTCCCTATATATCAAATACGTAGTTTTACCAATTTAGTTCCCAATCAATATACCCGGAGTATCATTTTTCACGAATGGTCCTTTGTTAACGTTTTTGTTAAGAACATGAATAAAATTATATATTCATACTTCTCTCTCTCCACAATTAAGTTTCCTCTCTCATCTCGTACTCTTTCCCAAACTCGTCACTGAGTTTGAAGCTCTAAACCTAAAACTAAAACGATCATTCCTCTCTCAATTATTAGTCTTCCTAGTGGAACCTAAAATCAAAACCAATAAGCTTTATGGATGAATTTTATCGGTTAGTCTCAAGAAATTGCAAAGAAAATAATCATTAAAACTCATCCATGAAGGTTATTGGTTTCGAATTTGGGTTCCACCAGTTAGACAAACAATTGAGAGAAGAGTGATGATTTCAGTTTTGGGTTCAAAGCTTCAAACTCAACGACGGGTTTGGGAAAGGGGTGCGAGGGGAGAGAGGAAGCTTAATTGAGGAGAGAAAGGAGTGTAAATTTACAATTTTATCCACGTTCTTAACGGATATGTTAACAAAGGACCATTCGTGGAAATGAATATAATAATTGTGAACTAAATTAGTAACATTTGAAATGTAGAGACTAAATATGTAAAACAACCTATAACTGGGGACCTTTTATAGAATTTACTTATTTATATATAACTAAAAATACTTTTTCCATAATTCACGGTCAAAAAATGTTACTGACCAAAAAAATCAAATTATAGCAATCTTTTAGGGATTGAGAGAGTAATTGTACAACAGGCTGTACCCAGAGTTGGATAGAAGATCACAAGGGGCAACAGACAAGATAGACAATGGAGCAGCGCAAATCACGAGTGGCAGCGCACCAGATAGACGAAGGTCGCTAAGAACAACGAAGGTGATGGTGGCTTGGCACCGCACCGAAGGTCGCCGGGAACAGCGAAGGTGATGGTGGCTAAAGTGATGGTATACCAGATCGAAGAAGGTGATGGCTGCGAAAACGCTAGGTGGCTGCGATACAAATGGGGGAAGGCGCGAATGTAGAAACCCTAGATCCATTAGAAGATTTCATCTCTTAGCAAATGTAGAATGAATGGCGGCAAGTTAGTTGAGAATGAACACTATTTTATTTGAGAATGAGTACCACTTTATTTTCGAATGAACACTACGTTATTAGTAAATTAATATTAGAGGAATTTGTTTAAATAACACGAAAACATAATGACTTTCTCTAAATAGCACCACATGTGTTTTTCTTCCCAATGTAGCATTTTTAGTCATTATGCATTACTCATTATTCAAGCAAATATTCACCATCACTAGACATTTTGGACATTATTAAGTGCTACTTAGGGAATAAAACAGTTTAAGTGCTATTTAGGGAAATGACTTAAGTTTTTAGTGCTATTTAATGCAAATATTTCTTAATATTATAATAAATTAAACAAACTAGAATCATACCCATGCGTTGCACGGACAAAAGTCTACTTTGAATTTTAATAATAAAATTTTTAAAGTTATTTTACTATAGTATATATTAATATATGTTTATACTTTGAATTGATATTTATGAGATGATTTTTTTACATTAAAAAACTGTAAGAAAAATGAATACAGAAGTCATTGCAAAAACATTTTTAAATTATGAAATACTTCTTCATAAACAGCATTCATAGTTGAACGTTTTAGTCTGCCATTCTCATCACATATTTGTATTTTTAAACCCTTACGAAATGACTTCACCCAGACATTATGTTCATCTAACAATTGCTTTAGTTTCTCCACAATGTGAACATGCACTGTTTGCAATTCATTATTATCCCTAAGGATTATTGTAGAAGTTAATGATTTAATAAAATAATTATTTTAATTAGAAAATTTGTAATAAAAAATTAAATTAAAAGATTAAAACATACCGCAATGCACTTATTCGATTTGCAATTTCATTTTCTATATCATAGATATATAACTGAGCAAAATGGGGAGGAGCTCCATTTAGAGGCATCAAAGAACCAATTCTATGATGGCTTCTTCCACCAACTTTGTACAGAGGTGGTGCTCTTCCAGAATTTAGATCTTCTACAACCTTTCCAGCCGTTGATGTAAACGAAAACATACTTTGTTTGGAAATGCCTACTATCACGATCCTTATCATATACTCCCTCCGAACCACATAGATCTTCCTAATAGCCCTTTTTCATTGTCCACAATAGATCTTCTCATTTCATTTTTTAACAATTAAAATACCACAACTACCCTCACTTACTTTATTTATTACACCTCACCCACCTCATTTAATACACTCCATCCATTTTCATTAAGGGTATTATGGTAAACTTTCATCTTTTTTCAACGCTCCTTAAAAACCACCAAAAGTCAAAATGAGAACATCTTAGGGGGACGGAGGGAGTATTAGATGTTTCAATAATGCCAGTGGGTCGCTAATTGGTGCAAGTACAATCTTTCCATGCTTGCAACACAAAGAATATTTTGGATGTTTTTTACTTAATATTCCAACAACTCGTTCATCATACCAAAAGTACGCCCTAGATTTTGAACATGTAAATGTTGGATCACCAATATCCAATCGTGTAACCTCACCAACAATTGTATTGTTCGTTCTCAAAGTATGTTCTTCTATAGTGCTGAAATTATCAATTTTTGAATCGTTGTCATATTCATAATAATCTTCAACTTTAAGTTTGTTATTCATTTGATCTTCATGTACAGGTTCAAAAGACCAACATTGACGCAAATATTCTAACTCAACGCGTTTTGCTCGTATTTCATTTCAGGAAATCTCCATTAAGTGTGGGGTCTAAATTGCATCACTTGTAATTCTTGAGCAAAACTCACAATTTTGGGATGTGTGTATATTTTCCAAAGAATAATGCGTAGAATCTTTTAATGATAAAGATTAATTGATTATTTTTTTAAAAAAACTTTGATAAATGGTTTTAAAATTATTTACCAAGATTTTTTTTTGTGTTAAATGCAAAAAACAAAAGTTATTAAAAACCTTCGCCCCAAATCTCTTTACCGTTTCAAAAAGTGCGTCCCGTACACTCTTTTTTATTTTTATTTAGAAACCACCTTTATCTCTTACTTTTTTATACCCTACTTATCACATCATACCCTTTTATCAATAATGTACACATCATATTTTATTTATACTTATCACATCAAAGTCATTTTTGGAAAATTAAACAAAATATCCTTTTTTTAAATTTCCACTTTAGTCATACTGTCCCAATCTTTTTAGAATGGAGGAAGTATAAATTATAAAATTATAGTAAATTAAACGTATTCAATTTGTTTAATAAATTACAACTATTTATTTACTTCAAATTTAAAATTTTATTCTGTTTGCCTCGAAAATTTAAAATGGAGAAGTAATGTTTTAGTACTCCCTATGACGCATCTTCCGCTGATAATACGGAGTATTTAATAATAATAATGGGAAGAAGTAAGGGGCTGTTTGGCAACTTCTGAATAGATAAGTGCTGAACCAGTAAGAGGTCTGAACCATTAAGTACTGAACAAGTAAGAGGTCTGAACCATTAAGAGCTAGTATATTGCTTAACTATTCAAAGGCAAATATCTGATCAATTCAGATAAGAGGTCTTAACCATTCAGACTCTGTATAATACTTAACCATTAAGTGCTGAACCATTCAGACATCTGAACCATTAAGAGGCTGAAACAAACAGCTCCTAAATTTTAAACCAAAACCAAATGGCTACATCTATCTTTTCTTCTTCTTTCGAGGACTGCGGCATGACTTCTTTTTCTTCGATCAGCCTCTTTCTCTATCTCTTCTTTTCAAGTCTGGTTTTTTTCATCTTTATCTTGTTTCCTTTTTTTAATTTGCCTTTTGTATACTGTAGATTGTAATTCTTAGTTTTGTGTTATCAATCTACAGATCAAAAATCCTACGCAGTCTCTGAAACATTGCGTAGAGATGTAGATTTTTTTCTAAGTAGTTTTAAGTTATAATTACTATATAAATTTCAGATTTTTTAAAACATGTTGATGTTTAATTTCTTCAATATTTAGATTGATGGTTCTCTTAATTATATATGATTTGTTCTACACTATTTTTGAGTGTTTAGATTTTAAATATTATATTTTTTAAAAGGCATTTATTTGTTTCATTCATAATTAATGAAGCTAGTTTTTTTTAACTTTTTTTCATAAATAGATGTACACGCAACAGATTGAATTATATAGACTTGTCTTGCATGTATATTGCTTTATATAGGTTAAGCAATGTGAGAAATCCCTGGCATGCAGTGCACCTACGGATGGTTCTTTTCACAAAGTTTAGAAGGCCAAAAGTTCTCATTGAATAAATTCAACAAAACCACCGAATTATTGCAATGAAATTAACTTGTTATGTGAGAATTCCTTGGGATACAATACACATACGGATGAAAAGTCTTTAGAAGACCAAAGGTTCTCATTCAATAAATTCAATAATACCATTACATTTTTGCAATTAAAAGTGTAATAAATGAACTCGTTAGACCCGAGGAATAACATTAGCCCTACATTTATCACTGATCGGAGATTATGCCCAATCATGGGCGGGAAAAAGTTTTTTTTCACACGACTTTTTTTAATTTCCAAAATCTTTTGCTTTTATATAGGAGTATAGATGTGTGAAAATGAGTACTACATTATTTCAGAATGAGTACTACGTGACATTAAGGACAGAAGGATAATAGTTATAGAATGTCTTGTACCGTAGAAGGCATTGATGAGATAATGAACGTCTTTTTCATACTCTGGGGGTTATAATGTGTTGCTAGATACCGCTTATTATCTATGGTATTGATTTATGTTAGTATCATTGTCAGTGTTATGGATACTTAAAGAGTCAGACACTTAGGACTTGTAAGGGTACTGTATACTACATTAGTGGGAGTAATATTAAATATGTAATTGTAATAATTTTATATATGTTAAATATGGCAGATATATTTCTCATTCTATTTAGAATATATTGTTTCCTTATTGACATAGACTATACCTCTCCCCATGTATGTATAAATACCCCCCGTATATGATGAATAAAATACTGAGTTCACAACACGTTATCAGCACGATAGTCCAACCCTAATTTTTTTTTATCTGCGCCGCTTCTTCAATCTATGGAGAAAAAGGGGAGCAAAGGAGAATCCATCATCGAAAAAGGACAGAGCTTCTTGCGGCTTCCTCCATCATCGAAAAAAAAAACACAGCTTCCTCTTTCATAAATTTCGATCTCCATTCCAGGTATTCCAAAATTTATCAAATTTAATCTTTTAACACTCAACATGGTACAATCTACATGAATATTTCACCTTGTAGAATCCGATTTGTGTTTGTGTGTACTACTATGCCTTGTTTTGTTCTAAAATCAAATTCCATTAGAAGGCTGCTGCGTTTTTTTAGATCCGTATTCATGGATGATTTGAGGGCTGCTGTATTCTTTTAAGATCAGCTTTTGAGGGCTGCTGTAATCACCAATATTTTTCATCAAAAAAAAAAAGAGAAAAAAGAAAAAAACGTCACCCATATTAATTCATTTAAATTTTCACTGGCCGGATCTTTTTCCTTTTCATGGCTGCAAATCTATGGTTGAATCTTCAATGACCGATTTTTTTATAATATTTTTTTGGCTGCACCTTTCACTTTGTCAAAGATTTGCCAAATATTGTCCTACTGTAAATTATTTCTACAGATTGTTTTTTTATTTCCTTTCTTGGAACAAGCACACTTCATGCAAAATCTAAAGCTACCTTGACAACCTGAATATATTGTGTGCTTGATAAATTTTTTTTTTACATCTCAATAATGACCCTTC